GTCATTTCTAAATATTACCTCTTCCTTTAATGTGTCTCCAAATACTGTAGTTTCCAGTAAGTTCTGATTTCTATAGTTCCACCCAGTGTTATTTCCCTGTCTTATTCATTTGGCACTTTGAGTATAATTTCTTGGTTTATTTGCTTCTATTATTCCTATTTCTTTCTTTTTTTTTCCTATCTATATAATATCTTCCCAGCTGGACTATGTTTCTCAAGAACAGGAAATTCACCAACTGTTTTATTGCTGTAGTGTTGAAAACTTGCCTTATAAATCTTTGTACATTTTTGTGCTCCTTGATTAGAAGAGCAATGGTGGGAAGAATAGTGATTTGGCTTGGTAATGGAATAGTCATCTACTTTATTCCTTGAATAGAGCCCTTGCTGCTCTGCCACTGCAATTTATTTTTAAAATGGACATGTTTCTTTCTCTTTCTCTCTCCTTGCTCTTCTCTAATCTCTCCCCCTCCCTAATCTCTGGGGAAATAGGAGTATACCTTTCTAATTTTAGGCAGATTAATCTGTCCCTGAGTACACACCCACCATAGGAACAAAGTAATCCAGACTTTGGTGTGGTACCAGAAGAACTCAGAAATGACTATCTCCCAAATTAACAAGTGAATTGCCACTCAAGACACAGAACACATGGAATGTAGCCTTTGAGCCACCTCTATAAAAGCCCCTGTTCCTAGTGATAGGCAGAATCTCAGCCTTTGGGATAGGAGTCCCCTGTGTTTCTCCTTTGCTGGCAAAGCAATATACCTTCTTTTTCCTTTATCTCAAAATGGTGTCCTCATTATTGTATTGGCATCAGGTACAAGGACCTAGGCTTTGGGCAATAGTAAGAACTGAAACCAAGGACTAAGCAAAATTGGGATTCATTTCCAGAAACATACACATAAACATTGTTCATAAAAATGCATTTAAATATCTACATAAAATTTTATGAGCCAAAGTTCAAGGGCATTCTCTACATGTTCTTCTGATACCTGCTGGCTTTTTCTCAGGATTTGCCAAGAAGCTTTTAAATTTTAAGGTTTTTTTTGGTTAGTCTGAAGAACAGTTACTTCCTTTGGCCCATAAAAAAACAGAATAATATTTGAACCCAGAAGAGTTAATTGTGCTAATTACATTTCTTTGGGGACCTATAAATAGTTGTTTACTTTTTCCACACAATCATCATCACTATGTTGATATTATTTGCATTCTTTACTGGCTTCAATCCTGTAGACAAAGGTGAAAAAGAGATTTCCCCGGTTTCCAAAGAAACTCTCAGGAAGCAGAAAAACAGAATGAGTATCTTTTTTAGGGAAAAGCTTCTCAAAAGAGTATTTTTACTGCTGTTTCCAAGAAGTTCAGATTTCTCAGAATTGACAATATATTACTAAGAATACACTTTGTTGTTCTGGCCAATGGGTGAAAGTGGTATGTTAGTTGCTACTATGCCTTACTATGTGCTAACTAGTAAGGAAGCCTTCCCCCATCCCTCCATGATAAGTTTACTAGGTAGTGTGCTCAGCCCAGCACCAGGCTCAAAGAAGACCTTCCTTAAATATTTACTAGTGAATGAATGCCTCTGTTAGCATTCTGAAAGCTTATGCAAGGGAGCAGACTAGTTATCAGTTATCTAATGATTCTATCCTCAGTTTTTTAATTCATTCATCTACTGAAGGGCATCTAGGTTGGTTCCACAGTTTAACTATTGTGAATTGTGGTGCTATGAACATCGATGTGGCTGTGTCCCTGTAGCATGCTGTTTTTAAGTCCTTTGAGTATAGACCAAAGAGAGGGATAGGATAGCTGGGTCAAATGGTGGTTCCATTTCCAGTTTTCCAAGGAATCGCCATACTGCTTTCCATATTGGCTGCATCAATTTTCAGTCCCAACAGCAATTTATGAGTGTACCTTTCCCCCCGCATCCTCGCCAATACTTATTGTTGTTTGTCTTCATAATAGCTGCCATTCTGACTGGAGTGAGATGATATCTTAGTGTAGTTTTGAGTTGCATTTCTCTAATTGCTAGAGATGATGAACATTTTTTCATATATTTGTTGATTGTGTATCCTCTTCTGAGAAGTGTCTGTTCAGCTCCTTGGCCCATTTGTTAATTGGGTTATTAGTTTGTTTGTTTGTTGGTTTGTTTTTGGTGCTTAGCTTTTTGAGTTAACTTTATATACCCTAGAGATTAGTGCTCTATCTGATGTGTGAGGGGTAAAAATTTGCTCCCAGGATGTAGGCTCTCTATTCACCTCATAGATTGTTTCTTTTGCTGAGAAGAAACTTTTTAGTTTGATTCCATCTCATTTATTGATTCTTGCGCTATAGGAGTCTTATTATGGAAGTTGGGGCCTACTTTTCTTCTATTAGACATAGAGTCTCTGGTTTAATTCCTAGGTCCTTGATCCACTTTGAGTTGAGTTTTATGCATGGTGAGAGATATACACAATGGAATGTTACTCAGAAATAAAAGAGAATAAAATCATGGCATTTGCAGGTAAATGGATGGCATTGGAAAAGATAATGCTAAGTGAAGTTAGCCAATCCCCCCAAAACCAAATGCCCAATGTTTTTTGATATAAGGAGGCTGATTCATTGTGGGGTGGGGAGGTGGAGCATGGGAGGAATAGAAGAATTCTAGATAGGACAGAGGGGTGGGAATTAAACCAGAGGGGAAGGGAGAGGACAGGGGTTAGCAAGGATGGTGAAATGTGATGGACATCATTATCCAAAGTACATGTATGAAGACACGAATTGGTGTCAACCTTCTTTATATACAACCAGAGATATGAAAAACTGTGGTATATATGTGTAATAAGAATTCAAATGCAAAAAAATAACCCCAAAGTACATGTATAAAGACATGAATTGGCTTGAACATACTTTATATACAAATATATGAAAAACTGTACTCTATATGAATAATAAGAATTATAATACATTCCACTATCATGTATTTAAAAAATAAAATGAATAGAAAAAGAAAAAAAAGAATTGTAATGCATTCCGCTGTCATTTATTTTTAAAAAATTCAATGAAAAATTTTTAAAAAAAGAAAGATAAAGCTTAAGACCTTAAAAACTGAAAGAAATTTATCCAACTGTGATAACATTTGTGTTAATTGAGATATAACAGAACAATGAACTTCCAGTGTTTACTCTGTGCCAGGCAATGATTAACATTTTATGAAAATTTACTCATATGTACTTTAAAACTCATAGTATATACTGTTAAAAAGCACATGCTGGAGTAGGAACTTGAAGACAGAGAAGACAGAATACCTGGATTAAAGCCCAGGACAATGGCCCAGTGCCCATAAACCTATATACTGTCATCAATAGGGCCTTGGGGGACATCTTTCTTCTTCAACTTCTAGTTATTTTCCTACATTATGTTGTGATTCAAAAGAATTATGTTAATAAAATACATTTTGCCCCCCCCCAAAAAATGATTCTATATTCAAAGTCAGGTGGCTCCTCCATAAAAACCACCTCCCCATCTTAATGTAGGTTGCAGTAGTGATAGGCAGTAGTTTAAACAGACCATTTCCAAAGGAGATTTTAGACTAAGCTCTTCCCTTTCTTTTTTTCCAAAAAATATCTTTATTTTTATGTGATGCTGAGGATGGAACCCAGTACCTCACACATGCAAAGCACGTACTCTACCACTGAGCTACAGTCCCAGCCCCAAGCTCCTCCCTCCTTTCCAGAACTAGCCTGCTCCTTCTCTGTGAGATCTTGCACACAGGCTAACGTAAGGTTAGGCGTCCTTGATTTCCCCATGTATTATCACATTGATAAGAAAATGCATGTGTATTTTACCAGGAACCTTCTGGAGGCAGATAATATTGGATAACTTGTAGGAATCATTCTAATGAGGAGTTCCAGTTACTCAAGAGAATAATTGGGTGCTTTCCCCCACACTTTTCAGTCTATAGCTGAAAAATAACACATGCCCTCTTAGTTATAGGATAGAGGCTCTGTTTTCCCAATTGAGAGAAAAAAAATTCTAAGTGAATAAAATTCTGAAATTAATGGGCTTCTCTTTTTTAAAAACTGGATTATCATTCTCTCTGAGAACATATTAAGTTTTTCAATTTTAGCCCAGGGCCAAGCATGGCCCAGAAAAGTCTTAATATAAGAATTTCTTATAAATTCCATTTGAAATTGAATGAAAAACAAATGGGAAAACAAACCACAAAGTAAAACAAAAGAAATTTTTTAGACTTTAAAAATGACCGAATGATTTATATTTCACCTATTTTACCTCTAGTATGTAAAAGCAAACCAAAACAAAAAGCATTTAAAATCCATTTTTTAAGGATTCTCTACATCTTTTATTAAGTACACATTTAACAAAAAAAAAAAAAAAAGAAGACATTCTTCGGATATCAAGATTAAATGTGTTTATTTTGAGTTAGTGAATACAATGGTATATTAGATACCAGCACTCCAAGCTACACCTATGCATTTGCCTCTAAACCTTCACACACTGTCAGTTTTTATTCCTCTAACATTCCACCACTGGGCCTTCTATTTCTAGCAAAATCATAGTTCGAATTTTAAAAAAGAAAGAAAGAAAGAAAGATCAGTCACCATATTGTGCTTCCAGTGCCCCCAGAAGGATTTTAATTATCTCAAATAAATGTTTATCATTTTTAGTAAAGGGGAAAAAATGATAACATGAGCACTAGTAATGGCACTATCAGAAGAGAAAGAACAGAATACAGATTAAAAGAAACATTTTAGGCTGGACTAGTTTCTCCTCAGTTAAAAAATCCACATAAGATCATGGGTATGACGTCAAAGTTCAATTGTTCGATTTTGTGGGCCACACACTTAAGCGTATTGGCTAGTACATGTTTGCACTGAAACAGAAGCAATACAAGTTTTATGTTCTACCATTACACTTCCAGGTTTTTCACTTATGAATATACCTGCCAACCTAATGATTCTTGCATGCATTAGAGTTTGCTTTTGTAGAGTTAAGTTTATTTTTCCCCCATCCCTCCCACTCCCGTAAACATTGCAATGCGAACTCTTTGCCCAACTTTTAAGAGAATGTTACAAAGGACAGCTCTGTGCCACCTCAGGACAGGAATTCCCCTGTCCCCTCCTCCCCGGGCTGCAGATGGATCAGTAGTATTGATCACATCTCATCTTACATGCAAACAGACACTGCTCTCTTAATTTCCCCATGCCAGAGGCATACGAGTTGGCAGGTATGCATACAAAAATGGAATTAAAATGAAAAAGAAAGGAAAAAGAAAACTAAAAAGAAAGGAAAATCTTTCTTGTTAAAGCCAAATCATCCTAGAAGGAATCCATTGCTTTGAATTCACTTAAAGCCTGCACAGGTGAAATATGTTTCTTTTGAGAACCTCTCCTAACCCGGGTCTGGAATTCTTCAGGCTTTTCTCTCTTCACAAGGGGCTTCTTCTCTGGAGCCTTCATCTTCCAAGATACAACTGGTGAGTTGACAGCTGCGGTCCCATAGACCTTCTGGTATTTGGTTGAGGCCACATAGGATGCTTTGACCGTGAGGACAACAGCATTCATCAGGTTTTTAGCTGCCTGGATAAGCGACGTAGCACTGTCCAGCTAGAGTAGGAAAAGAATAAGACAGACCTCGGTTAATTGAGGCCCCCAGTTCACAAGAAGGTGGTGCAGTTTCACAAAACAATGTTTTGCTTGTTCAAGCAAACGGTATGGCTGAAAATAAGCAAATTCTTACAAGAGAAAGTGAACAGCCTATAAATCAGCCACCTGTCTTCTCCTATATCTGATCTCAAAGTAAACAAACATAAAAAAGTTTCCCTATGATACCTAACTTTCTAAAATCTCAATACCGCTAAAGACAAACCCTTCTTTTTAGCATATACAAATTCTAAAGTAACATAAGTTGTTCCAAAGAGCAATATATTATTATTAGGCTCATTAGTAATAGTGACAGTTACCCAATATTTGAAAAGCATTTGCTAGGCACTGAGGAATAAAAAGTCATAAAGGGTCACATTTCAATGATATGACCCTACTTCTGTATCTTCCTACCTAGCTATGACTATTTCTACATCCTGAGCTTGGGTTTGGTGAGGATGAAAGGAGCTAAAGCACAGGAAGAATCCCAGAGTGGTTTGGCTTTTTTAAAATTGAGCTTGTGGTATCCATTTAACTATTTCTAGGTCATGAAAATATCTCCTATAATAATATCAATAATTATGTCAGAATCTTATAGGTTTAGCCAGCATTCAGCAAGATCCCCATATTCCCCACGTTAATACGTGCCAAACACTGTTCCCAGAATTTTTTAAGTATTTCCCTATTTAACTTTCACAAAAACTCTATGAAGAAGAAGGTATTATCATCGTTGCTTTTTTTTTTCCAATGAGATTGTCCAGTAACTTGCAGAAGTTTACATAGCTTAAGTAGCAAAGTACTTGAAGACTATACTACTAGTCCACACTGTCACTATACTGAGTTGGAGAGATTTTTAAAATTCTATGAGAGCTAGGCTTGATGGCACACACCTTTAATCCCAGAGATTTGGGAGGCTAAGACAGGGGGGAATGCAAATTCAAAGCCAGCCTCAGCAACTTAACAAGGCCTTAAGCAACTTAGCAAGACCCTGTCTCAAAAATCAAGAAGTCTGGGGATGTAGCTCAGTGGTAAACCACCCCTGGGTTCAGTTCCCATAATAAAGAAAGAAAGAAAGAAGCAAGCAAGCGATGACAAGTCCCAATTTGCAAATAAGTTTAGAGACCCAACACCAGACCAGGGATGTTTAGATTCCTTCTTTCCTACACTTTACTAGTTAGAGTGCTACATAGTGTGTATCAGGCCATTCAGTGTCTGTCTGATGCTTCTTTCAGTCTCACTGCCTGAACCAGACATTTTTCAAACTCCCTTTCTTCCAGGATCTAGTGAAAGAAAAGGTAGACTGCAAGTCTTACTCCAACCTCATTTGATCATTCATCAAACTTCTTGTAATATCAAATAAGGAAAGGTATCCTTTAGAGTTAAAAAAAAAAATGCTTGCTATATAACCTGTAAGTCATGGGCTGTAAGTGCATTAAAGAATGGGAAAATGAGGCACAGAACCTTCTGAGGGCTGGGTGATTAGTAGTGTTTAAGCTGAGAGGCACTAAACCCTGTGGCTCCCCCACTGATGTGACTGACATTCACTTTAACTTCCTATCATTTCTTGTGAGAAAAAAATGTGTTCCATGCAGTGACTGGGGTCAAAAGAAGTTGAATCCAACGCCACTCTGGCTTTTCTTTGTTCCATTTTCTTTATTTAAGCTTTTTTAAGAAAAAAAAAAAGTTGAACTGGGTTAAAAATATTATGGTAATCAAATGAGCTCAATTCTTCCAGCACCAAAAATATTCATAGAGTCTGATCACTGGGAAAATAATGGAAGATGCTTTGTCCATATGAACCCCTTGTAATACCAAAGAAGGAATGCTTTATGATTAAAAAAAATTAAAGGTCAGTACTATATTGACCCTACATAATATAGAGAAGCAAAGATACTTCCAGAACCACAATTCACTGACATATAATTGACTCCTTTAACCAAATGCTTACAGACCATTGTACAAGGTGCACATATACCCAAATAACTTTTTAACCCATGATGTTTCATTTATACAGCCCAATTTTCAAGAGTTAGCTTAAAAAGCAAATCCTAGATTATTCATGTTAACAGGAGAGGCCAAACATGGATTTAGTGCAGTGGTTCTCAAGGGAGAGCACTAAGCCAGCAGCATCAGTATCGCCTGGGAACTGGTAGAATTTTTCAGGCCCAATCCAAAGCTTGCTGAATCAAAGACTTACATCTTTGTTTTAACTAGCCATCCAGGGGATTCTGATACATGCCAAAGTTTGAAAACCACTGGATTAATGAAACCCAAAGACAATCTGAAGGCTTATTTTATCCAATGATTTTAGGACTTCCACCATTTATTTACTAGCTTGTAACATCAGAGCTAGTTATCTGACTGAATTTCACTGTTTCATCTTTCTCATTCAACCGTCAGGTAGAAGTATAAATAATGAAGGGCAAAGATGAGACAGCAAAATGTTGGGACAATCAGGAGCACGTCAGTCATGAATGTGGTAAAAGCAACAAGAGAACCCCACTCTACCCCTCGATACCTCTCTGGTCCAAATGATAGTTTCCGGAAAGTCTGTCAGGTTTCAAAAAGGAGTAACATTCATTCATAAAGTTAGTCCAATCTATTCTGTGCTACGGGTAAAGAGGGTAAAATGATATGTCAGAGATAGTTTGGTTGATTTATTTTGTGGTAATTGAATTAGTAGAAATAGAATAGGACAAGATATGTCTATTATATTATTAAATGATTCTGGAGAGTGAGTCTTGGGAGAATTGAGCAGATCCAAAGAGAAGGATACAAGTAATCTGGAGATTTTTACCACAGATTCCATTTTCAGATAGATGGTGTCTAATTCTGCAGCAAAAAAATGAGAGCCTGTCTCTTCTCCAGAACCCATGTGCTCTCCCAGCCTGATGCAGGAATCCTGTGAATAAACCTAATACATGGGTTGAGAGTGAGATAGCTCTCCACTATAAAGCCAGTGACTTCATTCAAGCTGCCTGCTAATGCAGATCTTGAGTTTGGGGAAAGGTAAAATGAGGAGGTGAGGGAACCCGGCCAACTAGAACAAAATTACACAGACAATATGATCAGTCTAAGATTATTAATACAAAATGTGACATTTTAAAATGGTGAATTCCAAAAACATAAACTTTACCCTTTGCTACTATACTCACTTTTGTAATTTAGGTAACTTTAAAGCATAATGAGTTATTTTATTTTTAAAATGGTTTTCTTTATGTTTGTCCAAAATGGTAATAAGACCTGGTTTTCAATTGGTTTAGTTTTTACTAAACTTCACTTCCCCAAACGAGACATGAGAAAGAGCAAAGTTATATGGCAAAAAAAAATTTCATACAAGGTTTAGGAACCCCTGTTTATCATAATTGCATTCTATTTGGTAATTTAGACTATAATAGTGGCATTTTCAAACAAGATATGCAAATGAAGTTTTAATAATAACAAAAATTGAGCACCTACTAGGTGCCTTAATTCTTTGAATTAAATTTTGCAATTAAATTTTCCAAATCCTTAAAGTAGGTATTATTACCCTCATTTTATAGGTGAAGAAATTGAAGCTTCTGTAATGTTAACTTGCTCCTTTAGTAATATATAGTTGGAATTAGGACAAAAACACACCTCTCCCCAAAGCTCAGCATCTGAACCTACTATATAGCATTACTATATATTGGACATTTATGGGCTGTTATTTTTCAGTTACTATCTATAATTCAAAACAAACCTGCTTCTATTTACCCTTGCCCACCTGGAAAACGGTCCTTAAACCTATCAACATCCTGTTAATCCCATGACTTAATTTCATGAGTATCTCTATCTCACCTGGTCTGAATTTTTCAATCCCATGATTCAGATCCTAAATACTCTTTGCCTAGACCTCTGGTCCTGAGTTTGTCCCAACCCAGTGTTTAATCCTTCCTAGTCCCTCTTGGCATCCTCAGGACAATGGAGCCCAAATTTTTACCTCTACTAATTTCTCTTATACTTGCCCAGTTTCTGAGAAGCATATTTATTACCCAGCTCTAACCATCTGTTCTGTTAGGCTGGGCTTTGCTACTCTAATTAATGCTCTAAGCCTATATCTGGGCTTGCCTTGCTAGCTTTAAAATGGCCTCCAAAGGCAACCACAGCTCAGTTCTTCCTCAAGCCAGCCTACATTACATAGATGTCTGTTTTTGCTGAAAAGACCTGTCAATCTTTTCCTGTTTAGGAGGATATTTCAATTTCTTTGATGACTGCATTAAGTTCCTATATCTAGTCTAAAAGAAACTGTTCATTTTCAGCTCATTTTAAAAAAAAGAGCCTACAATTAGCAAATGAGTTCATGTACTTGTCTCTGGACCAACTCCTCAAGTTTTCTTTCTTTCATTCAACCTCAAAAACACCCTTGGGGGGTGGGGGCTGGGGATATAGCTCATTTGGTAGAGTGCTTGCCTCATATGCAAGCACTCATATGCAAGGGTTCAATCCCCAGAACCATAAATAAATAAATAAATAAATAAATAAATAAATAAAACACCCTTGGGATTGGTAATAGTATGATCCCAGTTGGGACTTACAGGACTCATGGTTTGCTCAACGTCACACTGCAATAAGTGATAAAGCCAACATTTAAATTCAGAAAGCCTATCCAGAACCCATGCTCTAACAATTACATCACACAAATTCCAAAAAGCATGCTTTGAAGGAGAATCCTCTATCCAAACATCTTTTGTGCTGTGCTAGCCTAACTGTGCCTTTTCCATCCCATAGGTGTCTGCTGTCTCTTGCCATAGAAATTAGAATTCTCTTAATTCCGTCACTATTCTTTTAAAATATCAAAGTACTATTTTAAAAAAGGCAACAGATGTTTCCTCACATCTTGTTCTATTACAGTCCATGAAAAGCAAATAAGGGTGAGAGAGCTGTTTCTTTAAGGCATTTTCTGTTTTTTTTTCTTACCTCTATTCTCACTCTTCTTAACCCAA